GAAGGAAGGAAGGAAGGAAGGAAGGAAGGAAGGAAGGAAGGAAGGAAGGAAAGGTTGCAAAATCAGGGTTCATGATGGATATTCATGAACAGCAGTATTTTTACTTTAAGGCTTAGGGACCTGTTTGTAACGTGTAAAGGAATTGCGATGAGTGTGTTTTCCTTCTCTTCTCTTGTTTCAACCTAAAAAAAAAAAAAAGATGTTGGAAGCATCTACTTCTACTTAAAAACAAACCAATTTCCAACATACCTAAACTAGAGAAACTTTAATTTGTTGATTCTATGTAGTGAACAAACTATGTACTGAAGCAACTTTTGAACCTGCTTTGTTAGAATCAAGTAGAGTTTAAACAAATCACAGTTGCTGGAGTTTGAAAGCACTTCTACTTTTTTGTTATATCCAGTCTTCTTTTGTGGGGGGTGAAAAAAGATAGGAGGAATAACTGCAGCTGATCAAGCTGAATATGGAATTGTAGTTAATAACAAGTTAAATATTACCCCTGTGTGGAGTCTAGAACCACTTCAGTAAGGAGCTTTGCCTTTGTAATGGTCCACCTTGATATGGTAAAGTGCTTCTCAAAGGAAAGACAATCCACATACATTCTTAAATGTTTATTTGCAGGGATAATTTTAACTGGCTTCCAATATTTCATAGCATCATGTTTTATATAGGAGACAGTAATGGAGACCTTTTGTACAGACTATGTGGACACAGGACACGTCTAGAGCCACTGTTAATAGCAGCTTCTCAGATCTGGGTACAGTTTTTGAGTAATAGTGAAAATACAGACAAAGGATTCATTATGCACTACTCATCTTTTGGTAAGAGAAATGTGGCATTTATGATACATTTTATTATCTCTTTACTCATAGATTTTTATTATTAATAATTTTGAATAAGCCCTCCTCTCCAAAGGATGATATATATTGATCTGGTTTTACTCCCTTCCCTTTAACAAAAACATATTCCAGAAATTCACCCCATGTAGCATCAAAATGATTCCTTTTCACCAGACCCTTTTTATATTTTAGTTCACATGTCAATTTATCATTAATAGCA